CAGCTGGCTGCAGGTGGACCCCGAATCGGGCCTGGTGGAAGCCCGCCAGAAAGTAACCCCCCCCCGTACGCACTCTCTTGGGGGGGGGGGGGGGCGTGCCCCCACACCCTGAGCCTGTCTCCTCTGCCCAGGTACTGGAAGGCCTCTGGCCTGGCCAGCTGGCTGCAGGTGGACCCCGAATCGGGCCTGGTGGAAGCCCGCCAGAAAGTACCCCCCCGTTCAACCTTCCGGGGGGGCTGGTATGTCACACAGATCCTGGCTGTTGATAATGGTGAGGAGGCTGAGCAGTGAGATGGGGGGGCAGGACAAAGAACAAGAAATGGGGTCTGGTAATGGTAGAAATGGTAATCCAGTCCTGATAAAAGGCCGCGTTAAGAGCTTTCAGCAGGCGCAGCTGGGGCTGGCTTAGACTTTCTCCAGGGCACTGCCCCCGTTAGCCAGAAAACCAGACCAGGGATGGGGGTCACCTTTTGGCAAGCCCTGAATGAATGGCTTGCAGGGGTGGAAGAGCTGAGCCCACTCCCTCGCGCCCCAGTTCCCTTCCGACGGGTGGAGAGAGACGCCCTCAAGCCTGCTGGACCCCTTCTCTTTCTCCCTCCCTCCCTCTCTCTCAGGGACCCCTCCCCTCACGGCAACCGGGACCCTCTCCGTCGAGGTGCTGGAGGTCAATGACCAGGCACCCTTCCTGTTCCCGACAAAGGGAGAGCTGTGTCAGGAAGGGGGCGGCTTGGTCCTGAGCGCCACGGATGAGGACTTGGCCCCCCATGCAGCACCGTTCCACTTCCGTTTCGCCCCCAGCAGTGCACACAACTGGACTCTCCGCCACCCCAATGGTAACCTCAGGCTATGCGCTTCCCAGGTACCCGTGTTGGACAAGGGGAAGGGAGTTTGACCCAGGCCAGAGGGGGAAGCACGGGCCGGATTTTCTGGTGGAGCCCCCTCCCCACAAAGCATATAACTTTGCAACTCTTAGTCAGTGGGGGTTAGCATCTACTCCAGGCTGGGGCCTGCCAGGCACATTGGGAGCCAATTTCTGCCACCCTCGGCTTCGCAGGATACCCGCCTGGGGGAAGCAGATTATTAAAAACCTGAAAGCAGCTGAAAGGCACAAAACCTTGGGCTCTTTTGTGATGTGAGTTGCCCTGAGCATTTCAGTTCTTTGAACATGGGAAAAGACTGGCTCCCAATAATGTGATAAGTGTGCCTTGTTTGTTTGGAAAGGAGGTAAAAATGTTAATTGTTTCTAACGAAGGCCGACCATTTTGCGAAAACAGCATTGTCCCCCGTTGCAGAGGCTCCTTGCAAGCTAGGAGAGCAGAGGGAGGCTGGGCCCCCCTTCAAGCACGTGTGTGTGGCGTGCTAAGCACCTCGCCCCCCAAATCTCTTCCTGGGGCTTTCCAGCTTCCCCCTGCAAGGGCAGAGGCTCACCCCCCACTTCCCTTACCCACTCCAGACACGCACGTGCTGCTGCAGCCTCCCACGGATGTGGCCGAGGGCCTCCACACCCTGCCGCTGCTCGTCAGTGACTCTGGGATCCCCCCACGGGTGCGAAAGCAGCTGCTGAACGTCTCTGTCTGCGCCTGCAATCGGTGGGGCGCCTGCGGGGCTCGTGCGGCTGCCACCGTGGCGGTGGTGGCAGGTCTCAGTTTGGGGGCCTTGATGACCATCCTCTGCAGTGCCGTCCTACTCCTGCGTAAGGGCCTGAGTTTGCTGATGCAGAATCCGGACCTTTACCAGGGTGGGGGGAGGCCGCCGTCCCCAGTGGCCCAGAAAGGAAGTGGGAGGAGCTGGACATCTGCCCCACATTAATGTGGGTCAGTGCCATGAGATGGGGGGTTCTAGAAATCGGATGGATGGATGGATGGATGGATGGATGGATGGATGGATGGATGGATGGA